GCGTCTTCAGGACATGGCAGCGGCGGCAACAATACTACAGCGAGAATTAAAGTTACGCCTTCTTTCTTTGCGTTAACATTTGGGCGGCGTTATGCAAATTTTCCCAGATCGTGACGTAGGTATGTGGGGGCGTGTTAGAACGAGCCGTTTTAGGAGGGTGTGGTTAACTCTTAACTTTTATAAAGAATATCTCTTTGGTTTTGAGACTTTAGTGTTTGCAACTTTACAGATCTTCTTTATGCACCAAGAGCTTGTAACACTCCAAAGAGAAAGGAAAAATTGAAATCACATCATATGACCCCTTTAACACGCTCCACAGCGCCACCCAGTGCATTTCGCTATAACAGACTTTTAGTTTTTGTGCTTAGGATTTATCACGGATTCCCTGCATTTACGGCCAGCAAAGCAACACGTAGTAATTTTATTTTTTGAATAATATTTATAGATCAAATATTCAAATATTCGACAATTTCTGGACACCCCTAGTGTATATGTGTCTGTATTTCATGTGTTTCTGTATCTTGTGACGGATATAAAGGCTGTTTGTTGCCTTAGTGACCTTCCCACAGTAGATGAGAGTCTTTAATTGGGCCTTTGTTCACCTAGCAGCTGTTGCCATGGTTCCTGGCTCTAGTGCTAGAAATGTCAAACACCTCAGAAACACAATCAGGTTTTTGGGAAGTTTGTCTAACAACCACAGTCTTTGGGTTCAGATGCAGTGTGTGTGTGGAAAGGTCTGTACAGTGTGTGAGGGATTCGAAAAGTGCTTTTGATGAAGCGGAGCGGCTCAGTGACATGCACCTTGCTCAAGACCCCACTGCTACTGTGTGTGCGCGAGTGTCACTGTCCATCTGATAGAGATGTTGGGCTGCATGCTGATCATTTATTCATCTTAGCTCAGAATGCGGTACGCCTGAGCCGCACGTATTAGAATAACCTGGAATAACCGATTCTGACTCCATCATCTCTACAAACTCACACAGAATGCGTGAACACTTCAGTTGAGATGCAGGAGAGGGAGCTAATGAAGGAAAGGAAAAGAATGTATTAGGCTGGAAAGAGCACCAGCTTAGAGGAGGAGAGACTGTCTGAAATAATCTTGTAGTCATTTCCAACCATGACTTTGCTCTTCATTTGATAGATTTGCATGCGTCTGCTTCATTTTCATAGAGTGATTTCTGATTTCCCATGAGTCTGAACGTTAATCACCAGTCATTGTGGTCATTCTTCTTTAGTTCCCTTGAAACCTTTTTAAAAGGAAAATGTGGGACATCTGCCAAACAATTTTTAGAGATTACATATTTAACATAGCCATAAGTTTTTGCTTTTACAAAAGAAAGTCTTGGGTTTTGTCTGAAATGCTGCATCTGATGATTCACAAGGGTGCGATTGTAGATGGTGGCGGCACAAGGGGGTGCCTTTATTTGCTATTGATTTGCTAAAAACTGGCTTATTTACTGATAATTTCTTGTTTAAAGTCATTAGAGCTTTATTTTGATTTGGATGTGACTAAAAGTGATGGTTTTCGAGTGTCTGAGTTGTTTACTTTTTAATTAGTGTATCCATTTTCACCATAAAGTTGATAAAACGCTACTGATGTTATGAGACATTTTGATAAACAACAGGCAATTAATGTCTAATAATTTCTAATAATTTAGTGTAATAGTTTGTATTTGAACAGAATTCATTTAAAAAAGTGTTATATGTGACATGGGGTTAGAGGCTTAGAGCTTTGAAAATTATTTCATGTTTTATTTTCTCTTTCATTTTCTCTCTCCATATGTAGATATATAAGGTTATGTATGTTTGTTTTCTTATATTTATAGTCCACATTAAAATTATGGGATGAAACTGGGACTGAACTTGAACTTAAACCTGAAAATATGTAGTTTTTAGTATTCTGAAGAATTTAAAACAAGAAATGTATGACTTTAAAATTGTTATATTAATTTAAACTTAATTTAAATTTAAATTTATTTTATAGTTTAATACAAATTTGACAAAAAATTACATTAAATTACAAAAATGCATTTTCACAAGTGGGTTTAAGATTGCACACAAGACTTTTGAACCCCACTGTACTTGTAGAAATAACTGATTAATTTAGATGAATTCTTATTTTAATCATATTTACTTAAAATGTGCATTATTCACTGACAAAACTGTAGATTTATGATCATTCACGAAGATTATCAGCCAACGTGATTAAACAGCCTAGTGGCCTGTTAAATGCTGTTAGTGTAGAGTTACTGTTGCACAGCCTAATCTCTCTAACGCTTGTCTTGTATGTTACAGGGAGCATGCGTGAGTAACAGGTTTCTGTGGCGGGACCTCAAGCTCCTCCCCTCATCTGGAGCCCCTGTGCTGTATGATACGAGGCCGCCTTCCTTCACACACTCTGACCTCAGTTCAACAGGTATGCACTGAATATACAGCAGACAATTATGTCATTATGTGATTATGGTTAGTCTCTTTATGATCCAAAGTGTGAATTAATGTCAGCTCTGTTTTACTCACAATGCATGATTAATGTAGCGTGACAGCGAAGCAGTTTGCATATACTCTCAGTGTCTGAAAGCGAAGAACTCTATAACAGTCCTTCCGCATGTAATGTGATAGATTTATTTTTTACATTTAAGTAATTGGGTGTTCAACTATGGCCACTTGTTAGCTCTGTGGACTTTTACACAGCAAGTGATGTTGTGTTTAATAGCTTTCTGTGGTGAAAATTACGTTAAAAAAAAAAAAGTCTGACTCCTGTCTTGCTAAGGTTAATGTTAAGGTTAATTTAATGTCACTCAATTTAAAAAAAATGTTAGTTTAATTTTTTTCCCCCATAATTTAACAAAATTACAGCTTAATTGGAAATGATGGGCCATCTTATTCTGTGCTGTGGAAATGATGCCACAATGTGGTTCAGTCGTCATTTAAAAATTTACATAAATCATTTTCAAACAATCAATATTGAAATAGTTTGTTTATTTCACTATTTTACATTATTGTAATTTTAACAACAGTAATTTAGTAAGTTTAGTAATTTAGTAATAATTTAAGTAATAATATATTTGTAGGATTTTCATGTTTTAAGTGGGTCAAGGAAAAAAAAAACCTAAATGTATTCATATAAAGCATTCAAAGTAGCAAAATATAATAGGTAGGGGAAAAAGTATTTTTTAATGTGATCTTTGCATAACAAAATCAAAAGGCTCCCTGAGTTGAAGAAACACCAGATTGAAAAGTGTCGTTATATTTTCTGCAGTTTGTTTTAATGTGAGTGTGTCTATAGCGCTCTGAACTTTAAATAGACAGTAATGCTTATTAATCTGGGTTACACCACAAAATGGTATTTAATTGTACTTGCTGTTGCTGCCAGGCTTTGCATCGATTATCAATTTGTGTTTGTTTTCTGCATTGGGTGCAGTTTTTGCATCACAGCTCCCGATTTCTACACCAAATTTGACATTAAAGCGTGTGGATGCTCTGCATTAGGGGTGCTCCGATCAGGATTTTTGAGGCCGATCGCCGATCACAGAAAGCAGTATCTGCCGATACCGATCACCGATACCGATCTTTTTAAAGCCTTCTTTTTATCATTTATAACTATTTATAGTGATAATCCGATCAGGATTTTTACTTTTGCATTTACTTCTAGATTTATATATTAAGTTGCTCAAGCAATTGGCAAAACATTTAAACTACTTTTCTTACGTTATCATGAACTTACCATTGACAGAAATAGTCAGCTCTACTGCCTTTTCTTTTGCATTTAAATCTTTATTACAAGCCATCCTGCGGTTCATAAAGAACTTTATTTTCCTACCTTCCACGAGTGCCATCGATTATTGCCTTGTTTATCTAAAAGTGCTCTTTTCCTTTAAACCTAGCCAAAAAGCCATATGTGTTGACTGTGAAACACAGTAGACTTTAATAATATGCATTTATGGTGTAATTACTACATTTTCGTGTCAATCCATGTTCATATTTACTGCAAAAAATGCGCTGTTACTTTAATTCATCACTTGCAGTGCAGCAAAAATAGACTCGGTGCGGAAACGATCTCTGCACTGCTGCAGACGCACCGCTCCTGAACGCACTGCCGGACCGCAACCGTGTGCAGTGAACGCTTTCATCCGTTAACAATCCACGGAAAAAATACGCACCACATATGCACCGCAAACGGAGTAATGTGAACCTGGCGTTATGTGTGTGCTCTGCGAGTGTGCATGAGCGTACGGTCTCCAGGAGAGCGTGCGAGCGCTGAATGGTTAAACACTGGCAAGAATTAAAAAGAAATGCAATTTATAAACTTTAGTGACGATGTGACACTGCCTCGACTGTGCAAGTGCCATTCCTGTGTCAACTGTGCAGCGTGCAGCTCGCTTATAGACAGACGCGACGTGTGGTGATTTGAAGCCATTTGCGTATTTTGAGAGAGAAAGAGAGAGAGCGCGCGCGGTGATTCACTCACGCTGTTTGTAAATTACGTCTCACACAAGGTTTTCAAATTACTTTATAAGTTATTTAATGAAATAACTTTAATATAGTACCTCACCTTCAGCATTATAATGATTTCACCCGCGCCGGACAGAGACTGAGACGGTGCCGCTGCATGTCATGAAAAAACCTATCACGGCAGGGTCATCAGCTTGAGATCGTTTTTTTGAGATCGGCCTTTTAGAGACCACCGATCAATCATCTCAACGTGATTATTGGCTATACACACACACACACACACCTTCAGCACTTTGTCTGAGAGCTGGTGACATCAGCACTCACTGCCGGTTTCTGAAATTAGACTGGTACGTTGTGTACTATTATAATACTGCAGACCTATTAAAGCATGGATCCTGTTATAGTGTTATATTACCAGTTGACTCATCCCTATAAACACGCATGGGATTCATGGGAAAGTGAGAATCATTCGTCTCTTCAGCTACATCCTCTATCTTTTCTTCTTTCTCTATTTGTCTTTACTCAAGTGCTGACTTGGGATTTAGTAGTATGTTTATTTAAGGACATTAGTTTTTCCTATGTCAGGACAGAGGGGAATTTTTCATACTGCATATAACACACACACCTTAGCGGTCTAAATGGGGACATTACATAGACTTCTATTCTTTTTATATACAGATAGTTAAGATAGTTATAAGCTAATCCTAACAATTAAAAAAAAAATGTATGTTTGCTTTATTAACTTTATACCAGTTTTAATAATAAAGACATACCCAAAGGGAGTTTTTTGGAGATTTTTTTCAGGTTTAGTTCACTTTTGGGTACAAATTTGTCCCCAACATATGGTTAAGTAGGTACACACACACACACACACACACACACACACACACAAT